TGAGGCTTCTCTAAGCTATCTTCATAAAACTGCATCCTCCCTGACATTGTCTATGTCCCCTTCTCCCCTCCCCCAAAAGCATTTATCCTGCTCTAACAGTCTATATAGTTCACTCATTTATTTTGTTTCTTGTCTATCTTCCCCCTAAAAATATAAGTCCCACGAAGGTGGGGACGCTTGTTTGATCCCTACTGTATCCCCATCACCACGAGCAACACCAAGGACTTAGTAGACTGATAAACCACTACATCAATAATCAAATACTGTGGAAGACCTCACTTAATGCATGAGGATGACCTGAACAGGCTTGACACGCAGCTCCAACTGTGCTCCTTAACAGGTCCCTCCCCTCCTCCGCCCCCGAGACCTGCAGGCGCCCCCCTTCCAGAAGCTTCCCCGGAAAAGGTAAGGTGCAGATGGGCAGGGAATGCACCCATCCCGACGACAGAGCCTCCTGAGGAGAAGAGGCCTCTTCTCAGTGCCAACCATGAGGCCAGTCTCCTTCCTCCCCTGGTGCGGCACCTCCCCCGGCCCAGCGGCAGCACCAGCATTTTCTGGGGGAGAACTAGAAGGAGAGAAGGACACCCACGGGTACCTGGGGAGGGATGGTCCTCCCCTCGTGAAGCCTGAAGAGAGAGAGAGCAGGAGCCCCTATCCCCACTCACCCCCGCGCCTTGGTTTCTTAACTACTTTGGCTTAACGTGATAACCCTAACAGAACGTACTCCGCCTGAGGCAGAAGACCCAAAGGAGAGGAGGAGGGGCTGGGCAAGCAGGCTTGATCCCTCCTCCCAAACCCCAGGCAGTGGAGGCGGGAGGAGTGCGAGAGGGCACAGAGTGGCCAGAGCCTTGTGCTGCCCCTAACAGAACCGTCTCACGGGAAATGGAGGCTAAAGGGGTCAGGGACACATCAGTAAGAAAGGTACGCGCTTTCAAGTGAATATGCGCCCCATGGAGGGTGCAGGCCCATGAAAGACTAATTCCAAGAACATTAGATTAACGTCCTCCTACTCTACTCCTACTCCTACTTAATGGAAACTCAGCTCAGTAAAATTGAAAGGTCTAAAGGTTAATTTCATAAAACTGATCACTCAATTAAAAGGTGAGGTTCCTTTAGGATCCATTATATATTAACCTTTAAATTGGACATTGACAGTATGATTATTCTATTAGTAACATCAACGGAAAGGAAGAAAGTTTTGCCCCCAAGTGGTATTGTTTTGTTGCCAGTATACTGAGGAAAAGGTACATCCACCAGAAGTGGAGAAATTATTTTTAATTAAAATCATTCAAGAGATCCAGCCAGAGGCTACCTAGGTTGCACGCTGTTCTGCTCTAGTAAAATGCCATTATTAAAAAACATTAAATGGGTCAATAAAGTCTGAGCTCGACGTTATGGAAAAAATTACAGCTTCCTAATTATGTCAAACTCACACACGCTTATGGGTCCAAAGGCATCATTTCTCTCAATTCCGCGATCATGTTCCCTCCAGACGTTCCCAAGAACAGGCCAAGGCCAGCACGTTCACTGGGAGGCAGAGCAGTAAAAAAAAGAAAGGCTTTAAACAGTCTCCCCTTGGGGAGGGAGAACTTGATGGGAGAAGATAAGGGTGACCTTTCCCCACCTGGAGAGAGTGTAGGCCCGGAGGGGAATGTTTATTCCCTAGTTTCAAGTTTCCCATGTGACACCTAACCTCCTTCAGCCTCCTGCGCCTGCCCCTCCCCTGGGGAGCAGGGACTTCTCTGGTCAGCAGCCTGGCAGGAGGAACAGGCATCGGCGTGAACACGCGTCGAGCCAGGCTCCTTTCTCTCTGTCCTCTCCTCTGGGATCTGCTTACTGACACTGACAGCAGAACTTCCGCTCTGTTCCTCTCTCTCTCATGTGCCACAAGGGGCCTGCCCCTGCTCTCTGTGCTCCGGGGCAGTGACCGCTCAGTGGCAGTAACGGCTGAGTGCATCTGTCTAACACAGGAGCCTTCAGCATGGCCACCCAACCGCAGACCTAACCTCTGCCTGCCACCCTGGATTCATTTGTGATAAAAGTGAGAACACATCTGTCCCTGTTGGGCTGAGCTGACTCCGGCATCCTTCCTCTTTCTCTCCCTCCCTCCCACTTCTGGCAGGAAACAGAGGTGCTTTCTTTATCAAGTGACCAACTGCTGCAACTGCGTCACAGGTCAAATGGGGTTCCAAGTCAATTACCATCCACCAAGGAACTTGCCTGTGCCAGGAACTCTCATACACATCTCATTTAATCCTCAGAAGAACATTATCTACATTTTATTTAAAAACAAACGAACAAAAAAACCAAGCACAAAGATGTGAAGTGAGCTGTACACACTGACATGATTAACACTTGGCAGAACTGAGACTAGAACTCAGGTGTGACTGACCCCAAAGCCCTGCTCTTTCAAAGGAACCAAAACAGGGGTAGGAGTAAAACTCAGAGCACACTGGTTGGCAATGAACTGCAACTGGGAAAATGAGTGCAAGACTGAGTTTCTGTAATGGGGTGATGGACTGGTTAAGACTAAGAAAGCCTCAGCAGCTCGAGTTCTGCTGACGCCCCAGCCACATCGCCAGGAAGTGGCGGGGGGGCCAGGCCCCGGGGGCCCTGGTCCTTGGTCCCAGCATGTGCCGCCAGGGTGGCTGGGAGAAGGGGAGGCACAGGCCAGCTGCCCGCTGTCCTGAGCAACAGGAGAGCAAACGGCTCAGAGCAGCCCACGCCGTGGCAGTCTGGGAACGCTGAAACAACGTGGGAGCTGAGTGGTGCTGTTCCTGGAGAAATGCCTTAATATTAGCATTAGAGTCAAAAGGTTAAAACCACTGCAAAGTGACAGCACAGCACCTGTTTTGTATAATAATCTTCTTATAAATCCATTGCTTTTTTCCTGTCTGCACTACATGTCAATCATTCTGTCCTGTTTGAGTCTCCTAATGAGCCGGAAAGTGATCGTCAGCCCCAGCAGGGCTTCTCACACTGTTTCTGGAAAGGGCCAGATAGCAAACATACGCGACCTGAGGGCCATGGAGCCCGTCAGGGCCACTCCACCCTGCTATGGTGGCATAAAAGCAGCCACCGATGACATACAAATGAGTGGGTGTGGCGGTGTTCCAATCAACTTTATTTATAATAGACACCAAAATCTGAACTTTGTATAATTTTCTTACGTGGTAAAATATTATATTATTATTATTATTATTATTATTATTATTATTATTATTATTATTATTATTATTATTATTTTTCCCCCAGCAGTTAAAAAATGTGAAAACTATTCTCAGCTCACAGGCTGTATAAAAACAGGCTGGGCTTGACCTGCTGGCTGTGACAGTTTGCTGCTCCCTGGTTTAGAGGCAAACATAGCGTTTTACAGATTAAATGACTTTCTTAGGTTCTCATGGCTAATAAGGGAACAGGATGGCATGAACTAAACCAACAGTTAAAGCATTCTCCCAGCTGGATACCTTCTCAAGGCAAAGGGAAGTTAATAATGGATTCCCATGAAAGGTCTCCACACCCACTTATTTAACCTCAGCTGCCATGTACTAGAGAAAGGAGCTGAACAGTATAATCTGGTATGTCCTTAGGACTGATTATTTCAGAACTGCACAAACAGATTTGTAAAAAGAATGTTATTAAAAAAAAATTCACTCTGGACAATTTTTGGCCTCCAGGTCTTCATTCTGACTAGATTAATGACTTCATATTGCTTTTTGCATGTGTGTTGCTGTATTTAAAACATGATAATCTGCTGTTATATTGATAATCTTTCATTAAAGATGTGAAATCACTTTTCAGACAAGTTATAGACATAAAGAGATGTTTTCAGTATATTCCTATAAATGCTATAATCTTAAAGACTATACTAAATAAGATTTGGAATTTCTCACAAGGAAAACAAAACAAAGCAAAACAAAACAAGGAGCTGAAAACTGACAGACTCGTATCAGTTTTATTAAGTTTTCCAAAATGAGTGGAGCTTCCATTTTTATGAGCTATAGAATTGATATCTGATACACATACACACCTTCAGAAATAAAATTTACACTGCCATCTAGTGTTGATCAACTATTTTAACTGAGAACTTTAAGGTCTTGGTACTAAGCATTAGAATAACACTTCTAGTATGGAAATGAAATACACTTAGAAGTATAAAGTAGACAAAGTGGTAGAGATTACTTAAAATTCACCAGGAATATAATTATTTTTTCTGTTAAAGAACTTCTATGAAATATTTCCATTTTTGCATATATTGACAAAATTTTTTTTAAAGCCTGAGGACTTCTTTTATATTCTCTACGATAAGAAGGCTTCTGAAGGGCTAAAATGCTTGTTTAATAAGACGAAATCCTAAAAAGATGCTTCTGAAGGTGTCGCCGCACACGTCCAACCCAACTTTTCCATTCGTTTACACACTACGCTGGAGCCTGGCCCCACGGCAGAAGCACCGCACTAGAGACAGGTGCAGATGCCGGTCAGGGGAGAGCAGAAGGCAACATACCTGCACCGCAACGTCCCTGTGCCTTTGGAGAACTGGCGTCTATTTCAGAAACCATTTTGAAAGGCTTGATCAAAACGCTTTTTCTCTTTTTAATAACTGACCTAATAAAAACTCACACTACAGCAAGAGCTCTTGTCTCTCCAAATGGCACCTTTACGTGACTTGTATTACCTCTTCATCTGCTCAGTGAGAATTTACTCGGTGAGAAACTGCCCCGTTCCTCTCTGCGTGCTTCACAGCACACCTGGCGCACACCGAGACACTGCCTCAGGGGGGCATCAGAACGGGGGTGCTGCTGTGGGGACGTGGGGATGTTGAGGACATGGGCGCAGCTGGCGGAGCTCCTTTTTGCTCTGCAGATATTTTTTCACTGCAAAACTGATCCTCTCCGTTACAACCCTGAGTTATTAAGTAAAAAGTGAGGACAAAAAGCTCAAAAGAAATACAGGTACGGAAAAGAATAGTCACCAAAATCATGATACAAAAATATACTTACCTATAAGCATTAATATAATCTTTCCTGTGTTCCAGAAGAAAATCTCTCAGTTTGCCAATGTGCGAAATCTACAACGAAAAGAAAGCGAACGCTTTATGTAAATAGCTATTTTACGCTCACATGTAACAAATTTTAAACTAATAGAGAATGGAATGTATGGTAGAAAGATTCTGAAGCTACAAACTGGACGACTCTGGTTTCAGACTCTGGCACAATCACGAGCTTGCTGGGCTTTGTCTCTTACTGATGGTTCCCTCCTCCTGTGTAATGGCTGTGATCTGTGACCGGTGACGAGGAGCTCTCTAAGGAACTCTGAGATTCAATGGGACAGTGCAAGTCTAGAAACTACCCAGCATGTGCTCAATAAAGGCCGATCCTTTTCCTTATGTGTCTTGTGCCTAAAACTTTATAGACATGTCTTCTTCCAAGTGTTCTAGGGGATGGGTTCTAAGGCAGCTTATCAAGTTTATCAACAGGGCCCATGCAGAGGAGCAGAATTAAATGAAAGATTCGAGAGCAACAATTTATCTCTGCATAGAAAATCTCCATCTCCCTACTTCCATGGGTGAACAAAACAGACACAGCAGTACAGAGGACTGAAGCTGTGATGGCTTGTTTCTAGCATAGCAACAACTACTCCAAAGCACGTACTGTGGGTCAGGTACGGTGTGTGGAACGAGGGACTAAGAAACAAATCAAATAAAAAGAAGTAGAAAGAAAACTAGGACAACAGGGACCAAAGTGTTTCCAGAAGGAGACAGTGATTAGCTAAGCTGGTGGCCTGCCCTGTCCTTTGACCATGGCTCACGCTAATTTCTCTCTAATGCCCTTTGTACTTACTCCAAAGAGAGGGAGCCCCAGACTTGAAGGATCTGCTGAACTTTCATCTTTCTCATGATAGTTCTTCTGTCAAGGCCAACTCAGGCTAATTTTCACTTTGCTCTGAACTTAAAAGAACTTCTGCATCCCACCCACGTCCCCTGGCCTAACTGTGACACACACACCTCTCTCTGTGGGGCTATGAACCACACAAGGAGGGCCGCACAGCCTCCTCGCAGCCCCAAGCACACCACACAGCTTAGAGGTGTTAATAAGTATGTGTGGAATGAGTAAATGTCTAAATACAAAAATAGTATTTACCACCAAAGAAATGTTCAGCATGTGTCTGGAGATAGGTCAGTAGGGGTTCAGTTAAATTTCCCAGAGTCTAGACTAATAACAAATATGGTTCAGAAAAGTACCCTCAGGCGTCTTAAGAGCATGAATCAAAGACAAAATTAAGTATGGCCACAATATTAATTTATTCACCAGACTAAAACAATGATTGAGAGTCTGCCTGGCTCTGCGGGTCCTTCCACATACACGACCCAGTTCTTCCCTGCGCCCTGCTGTGGGCACTGACACCACTGCGCCCATCACCCAGCTTGGGAAGGTGAACCTCGCCGAAGCTGAGTGAATGGTGCGGTTACAAGTTAGTGCCTGGTGGGGCTCAGGGTCAAGCTCGGTGTGTCTTCCACTGCGCCACAGTGGCCCTCCTCACACTCTCATTCCTATTTTCCACTTATGCTGTATTTTAAAATCTGACTTTGAAGGTTGTTGGGGAAAAAATTTAAGAGATGTGCAAACAAGGTGTTTACTGTACCACATACAAGATTTAATCAAGTTACTCTCAGTTTGATACATTTCCCTGGCTTCTATCCCCTTCCCAACACCTGCCTGCAGGGGCTTCTGGGGCACAATGCACTGGGCAGGGGGAGTTGTGGTTCTAAAACACACTGCAGCCAATTTGTTAAAATGAAATGAAGTTTGGTCAGGGTTAAATGAAATTTTTTGGGGGGGGTGTAATTAGGTTTGTTTTTTTTTTGTTTATTTTTAAAATTTTTAATGGAAGCACGTGGGATTGAACCCAGGACCTTGTGCATGCTAAGCATGTGCTCTACCACTTCAGCTATACCCTCCTCACTAAGATAAATTAAGGTGTTAAGTAATTACTGACTTAATATCATCAGTTGAATAACTCAATACTTAATACAAGTACAATGTATAAAATATTTCAAATGCCAAGACTAAAAAGAAATAAATGAGCATTAATATTTCTGTAGGTATTTGACAGCTGTGAAATTATACTAGGTTCCCAAAATAAATACATGCAAAAAAATCACAAATTAATAATAAAGAAAAAAAGTCACTATATCTTTATCTAAACAGACACACTTAAGTTCCCAAACAGCGTTATATGATAGAGTTAACTTTATAAAGATCGATTTGACAGTTTAATCACATGACTACCGTCATCTTCGTAAAGATTCTTCATCAAGCTTTGATCTGTTTACTGTTGTGCTCAGTCCTATTTTTGAGAATAAACTGCCAAAGACAGCATATTATATTTCATACAAGACTGATATGCCCCTGAGGCTTTCAGATTTTTAGAGAGGCTGAATAGTTGTGTACTTTGGATTTTCAATGTTTCCACATATAGTGCCAATTTAAAAACAGTCACTTACATGGTAAGAATCATTTATATGTGTGTATCTAAAGAGAAAGCTTCTTACTTCTAAAAGGAAAGAGGCCATTCCAGTGTCCAGTTTGAGAAGGAAATCAGAGCAAAATGAAAGTACATTTGCCCCACCGAGATCTAAAACTAGTGTCTATTTCTTTCAGACTTGGTATCATCGAATGACATGGGAGTAGAGGGAGGGAAAAGGCGGGGTCTAGGAGGAGGAAGGATGGGGTCAATGGAAAAGTCTGTAGGACCAGGTCAGTGACAAGATCCAAGGACTTCATGGAGGAGGTAACATTTAAGCAGAAGGATGACCAGAGGCTCTGCAGGTAGCATGGGGCTGGAACTAAGAATGCTGGTTCAGGCAGAGGAAGAGCCATCACAGAGGCATTGAGCTGTGAAAATGGTGTGTCCCTCTTCTGACCAAGGCCATGAAGTGCCCCACAACATGGTTTAGCCTGGAAAGCATTCCCAGGGAGTGCTCCTACTCTGCTGGAACAGCCTTCTTAATCCCAATCCCATGCTACCTGCAGAGCCCCTGCTCATCCTTCCAGGTTCTGCTTAAATGTCACCTCCTCCAGGAAGCCTTTTCTAACACGCCCCTTAGTATTTCACAGATACCTGTGAACACTTCCCATATTACAAGTATTTACCTGTATCCCCTGCTAGACTTCAATTAAGTTCTTTGACATCAGGATCTATATCCTATTCATTTTTATATCTCCAGTAGTGCCTAACTGTTGGAAGGAGGAAATGAGGGAAAAAAGGAAATCCAACAGAAAAGGCTTCAAGATCTGGTAACTCCTGACATCCTAGTCATATTAAAAAGGAATCACAAGACTGCCCTTAGCTAACTGTGTGAACAAACAAACGAAGAGGGCTATGCTGGCTACTTTGCAAATTGCTCGCCTAGAGAGTCAGCATGTTGCATCCAGAAGGTGCAGCATAAGCATGTAAACCCACCGAGACTGTGCAGTCCAACGTGCTGCATGGAGGTGGTCTGTCCTCACGGAGCAGGGGCTCCTCCCTCCATCTGACTGATGGTCCACAGGGACGAGTTTTCATGTTAGCAAGCTGTGGTTCTGATCACACTGCTGAATTATATGAAATATGTCTCCACCAGAGAGGATGGATGTGGACCAAGAATAGAGACTCCATTTCTAACATAAGCTGTAGTTTAAAGTAAGAATTGAACTGAAGTTACAAGAGAAAAAGGAAAGGAATACAATATTTACTTTCTCCTCCGGACCAGTCACATTAAGCGGGTTATTTCACTTAATTCTGACAACAACCCTGTGGAAACAGATTTTTAATTAGTGGAAAGAAACCAAAACCCTGAGCAGCAGTATCGGCGACAAAGCCGGAACTGAAGCCCTAAGTGTGCCATACGAGCACGGGCTCCCTCCTAAACTGATGAACATGTCGGTATTTTCTAGTTTCATTTGACATTAAAGTCACTATAATGCCTGCTGTATATTGTTACTTCACTGGTTTAAAAAATCTCCCACTTAATATTTAATGATATTAAGGAATTACAAAGAACTTTTTTTTAGGTGTGATAACAGTATGTACTACGATTATGTTTTTAAAATCCCTATCTTTTAGAAAGGTACTGAAAATTTATAAATAAAATGATATGATACCTGGGATTTGCTCCAACATAACATGGGGGTGGAGAGAAACAGGAAACAGGATTAGTCATGCGTCAGTAACGGGACATGGGCACGTGCATACGTGGGCTCCTTACAACTATCTGTCTACTTTAGTGTATATGTGGCGTTTTCCTTAATAAAACACTATTTTTCTAAAATATGCCATCTTATACTCTCTTTTAACATTTTGGTGATTCTGAAGTACAGGATTTCTGCTGCCAAACTAGTAATAACTCACACTTGAACCAACTCAATCCCACCACAAATCTCTAGTTTATTTCTAAGTACTTGTAAGCTTTGTTAAAAGTTCCATTTAAGAAGATCAATGACACTTAAAAAAATCAACAACGAAACCTTCTTTGAGGGTTTACTACATGCCGGGCACGACCCCAAGACCTCTGCGCGCACTAGCTCATTGAACTCTCCCAGCAGCCCCCAGGAGGCAAGTAACACTGTCACGCCTGTTTTACAGCTAAGAAAACTGAGTCAGAGAGAGGGCAAGGAATTTGCTCAGAGACACACGGGGTGAAGCCTGGAAGGAACCCAGCATTCTAAGTATCAGGCTTGAATTCTTAACCCCCAGACTGAAGCACAGGTTTTTGGCAGGTGGCAGGTGTAGTTTTCTAGAATAGTCACCACGAAGGGGGATGACTGGGAACGAGAAAAGTGTCCAGCGAACAACATCGAGCTGTTTTTTCTGTATCTGTATTCAACAACGCACTGCACACCTGACGTTTCCAACAGTGACCGCCACGTACTGAGACCAACCACGTGTGTGCCAGGCAGTGCAGATAAACTGAGGCCCCCCGCAAGGTCACAGGCTAAGAGGGGCAGAACTGGAATAGAGCACAGGTCTATGTGACTCTAAGGCTAAGTTATTTATTCTCTATTATACCGTCAAAAGACTAATAAACCA